AACAACAACAACAACAACTCGATATTGGTTCACGCTGCTTCTGACGATTTCACTGTTTAAAATCATCGACTCGAAAACTGACGGGAAGGCTGCAAGGATCGGGAAGCAGTGAGTGGCAGAAGAGGAAGAAAAGGGAGTTAAAGTCCTCCCCCTCTCTCCCGTCCCCCGTGCAGGTCGGTGAAGCGCGATCGTGTTCAATGTCGGGGAAATATTTGCCCGCAGGTTTTAAGAGACAATGCAGTGCAGTGGTACGGCTGGTCATTTTACCTTGCCTGGCTGGGGGTGGCCACGTGTTTAGGCACGATGACGCTATTCCTGATCGCGGCATCCTGCCTGCGGCGGGAACATGCTCGCGAGCAGGCACAGAACGTTCAATACATCATGCCAGGTGACACGAAAACGCTGAAACAGTTGTACTAACTTCCTCCGTCTTCTTTTTTTTTTCTCTCTCTCTCTCTCCTGGAATGGCGGCTCTAGGTCCTGAAGGACAACTCACTAATCTCGTACGACTGGTCGTACGTGGTCGCTTGGGTCGGCGTCGGTTGGTCGTTGGTCAGCGCGATCTTGTTTAGCGCCGCGGCGATTTGCTTGAGGGGCGAGAGAATGCGCGAGGAAGCGATGAACATGCAGTACCTCATGCCTGGTACATATTTAACACCTTTTGCTTTTGCCATGAAACGAGCAACGAGCTCGCGCAGACTCCTGTACTCGAAGGTCGAGCAACTGCCCGCCATTTTGTTCCTCGGAACGTTCATCAAGAGAAATTCAATTAATAAGGAATATTTATCAAGATAAGAGAGAAGTTTAATTAACGGAATTTTTTTTTTTTTTTTTTTTTGGTGTAATCGAATGTACTGACAGACGTCTCGAAATATTCGCGATTGTGAGAAAGGAGTCTGCGCGTGCATCGTGTGCACCACTAACTTTTGATTCACGATTACTGGGTTGACCCCGAAAAATGACGTCCCTTGGTTTGAAAGTAACGACGGTCGTTCTACTAACTTGAATCGATTCAGATGATACTAGAGGCTTAACGGGGAAACGAAATAGTTGATACAGAAGCAATAAATCAAGATTTACGTAAAGTAGAAATCGCCGGATCGTGATGTAAGAGTATTATGGCACGCGTTTGAACGCAACAACAAAACAAAACGAGCGATATTGCCATATCGAGCTAATTAACGCGAGGAAAAGTTATTCCTTGATATTGTTGCGAAATATTATGTTTATAATGCGTTGTTGCAGAATATTTAATTTAGATTATTAATCAATTAGCAAACATACACGTTTCAAAGCTGATGTGCAAAACTATATAAATAGTAGCCACATGGCATTGAAAGCACAAGAGAGCAGAACAAAGTTAATTGGAATGAAACGTGGAAATCTTGTTAGAAAAGCGGACTGCGTGAAACTTTCCAAACGTTTAAAATCCCTAATTATCAATTGCTTCTGTGTCAACAAATTCAACAAACGTGTTCTCCAACTTTGAGATCTGTCGTTGCAGACACAAGTCCGACCATCGGAACTCATTCGAAGAAACTGAGACTGAAGAAAACATCTAGATGTAAAAATTATATACGGATTTATAATAACAAACGGATCCATAATTAATCGATAGTTATATATATTCAGGAGATCAAAGAGACAAGTCGTTCGCTTGTTTAACTATTTTCAACAATATTGTACATAAAATACCAAATTGACTCGAAATAGAGTTACGCTTGTTAATTAAAATATGAATCCCCGTCTTTGTTGTCGATACGATCACAATAATTGTTAAGCATTAGCGACACCGTGGGAAAAGGAACGCTCGATATTCGTCTTCGTGAAACTCTTACTCGTTCGATTCACGGTCTGTTTCCACCGTGGATTAAAGCAATTTTGTCACGCTCTAATCCTGGGGAAAACTTTCTAGATGATACCGGTTTCCATCGATCGTCGAATATTCAGGCGATATTTCGTCTTTCGTTCTTGCAGCTGTTTCAAGTTTTTCTTTTTCGCTATAAAGAAGAAAAAAAAAAAAAAAAATCAAAATTATTGAAAGTTTAAACACTGTTGATGAATCGGATATTAAGGAAATATTTCGTTAAACCGGTACCTGTGATTTGCTTGATAAAAATTCTAAAAACCGGAAGAACACGTAGAACTATGAAGCGTCCACAGGTGCGTTATAAGTAGCCCCTTGGAAAGCGACACACTTGCCTAATTTTATTACTCGATCCTCCGACGCCTGTTGCTGCGCAAGGATTTCCACGTTTGCGTATTCATCGGCGTGCATAGTTGCCTTCAAGTGGAATTTCAATTCACGCTCACCATCACGAAGACGAATAACCAAGAGTGTATTTCACCTCAGGTGAAAAAGAATCCGTGCCTTTTCTCGATCGATTCCAATTTTATCTCGTTTCATTGTCAACTTCACATTAATCAAGAATCGATCGTTGTATTTTCTCGTCCTTTGTTAAGAAACTCGAAGATGATTTTGTTCGAAGCAAATACTAATCGAAATATTTCGTCAGCCAATTGAAACCGCGTTGCAGTAGCGTGTCTTTCCGTGCTTCAAAGTGATTCAATGATTCCTGATGTGACAACACAAGAAAATACTGCGGGCTGTTTTACACGCGCTTTTACAAAAGAAATTGCAACGACGATCGAAGTGATCTTAACTTAAAGTTTCGTCTATCGATACACGGAAGTTAGCCGAGGAACTCGTAACTTTGGATAACGATAACCGACTGATAGGATAAGAACCCGCGCTAAGAATCACAACCTGCAAGAAATGAAATTAACATTCGATTGTTCTCCTTGGTTTTAGTATATCCTCAGAAGCAACAATACGCTTATGCCGGTTACCCAGCACCGGCCGCATATCCAGGACCTTACTATCATGGATCGCAGTACGGACCGTACAACTATTGAAGAAATCCCACATTGTTGTCATCTCTATCTAACAGGCAGGCAAAAGAAGAGTCTAGAAACGCACAACGTAGAACGTGCTCGCAGTGAACAAAACGAAATCTGGCAGGCAACGA